TCTGGTGGACCACTTTGGAGGAAGCAAGTTACCATTTGGCTCCAGCGCTGTACCATCATCGGCCACCATTTTACCATCGACAGGCCGGCTTTTGCAGTTGTCAAAAGTCAGCATGTTGGTTTCTGGCCATGAAATACCCGAAGGTGTTCCGGATACTGTTGCTTTTTTGGTTGAACTGTTGACGGATGTCGCTTGGTTAGTGGAACCGGCTGGATTGCCTGTGACCTTGCGCTTCCGTGCGGGCTGTGAAGCAGCCGGCTGCTGCGTTGTCGTGGACGCATTATTTGAACTGCCCGACGGTTGCTCCTTGGGAGCATTCGCTGCCTGCGCTGCCTTTGGCTCGTCTGTGCCAGCCTTACGCGAACTTGCACCGCCACGGGGCGCATCGCCATTCACAGCAGCGCTAGACTGACGTGAAGTCTTTTTGGAATCACCGTCCTTTTTGTCGTGATAGTAGTCATAAACATCGCCATCAATGTCCCTGTCCTCGGCGTAGTTAATACGCGAGGTGCCAGTCCTGTTACGGGAACGTGTGCCGTATGGAAAGGCTGAATCTGCCCCAGCTTCCTTGGCCGCGCTGTCCAAACTCGATTGAGTGGTCATCGGGTCGGACGCAGATTGAGCACCTGGGTCAGAGGTGTTGGAATCCTGAGTGACGAGTTAGAGAATGGGTCCAATCGCGATCGCGCCCTCACAACTTGTGAGGTGAGTGAGTGAAAGTGAGAGACACGGGAGCAAGGTACAAATATTAAAAAGGTGAGTGTAAAAAAGGTGAGTTGTAGTTAAGGTAAGTTAGAATCCCACATCCACTCACATTGTGTTGTGCCATGACATTCAACAGCGAATCACTTGCGCAGCAACGAGATGTGGTGAATCGCGTATGAAGGCATGCCCAGAGGTGGTGGCTTGATGGCGGAGGTTGCAAAGGATGAGGAGGGCAAGAGAGCGATTCGTCTAGTTGTCTGATATGAGATAAGAATTGATCAAGGCCGCTTAAATACTTCACTGCCGTGAAGGATAGAACTTGAGACTCGAAGTAGTCGTCTGCCCTGCAAGTTGGAGTGTGTAAGTTTAAGAAGAAGGAAGAGGCATGATTCCCAGGCGCCGGGAGAAGAAACGTCCTAGCATTGGCACTGCACTGGCACCCCGAGGCGGCGGCCCTGGCCTGGTCGATGCATCCACTCTACTAAGAGTACACTGGGGGCGATGATAGGCTGAGCTTGTAGCGGATAAGTAGCCACTAATCAGGTGGCGGCTGATTCGCAGACACTGAAACTCAGGTTCTGCCCCCGGTGCGATAAAGATAAACACCACTTCTACATGCTGCACCCTGGTTATCAGTGTTACTCTCTAGTCTCCACGGGGCCCATCTAGGTCTCGCAGCACTGACGAGCCGACGGATCTCAACCCAACTCTGAGGCGTGTCCATGGGTCCACGGGTCCTCCCACAAAGAGAGAGCAGGCCATGCCGGGGGGAGAACCACTACAAAGCCGGTCACTACAGACTGGCCTTAATTGTGACTGTGACGGTCGAGGCATCAGACCAGCTTTTGGTGGGAAATCCTAGGGCCTGCCAACAAGACCACGGAAGCTGGGGTTGGCCAGGCTGAACCGATCATTGTGAGGAAATACGGATATCCATACCAAGTTGATCAGATATACAATGCCGTGGCTTGCATTGTCACTATACCAAACACTTACAAATCGATGTAAGAGGCATAGAGAAAAGATAGAGAGGTGAACGTCCGTCAAAATGAGAAGACGTAACATTCTCGAATGATGGAGCCTGCCTTGATATCACCAGTTCTTGGTTTCCGCCATTCATCCCATGTCATTCATTATACCTGTTGTCAAAGATGAAAAAAAATTGTCCTTTTCCGGTTTCTATCTGGTCAGCGGTATCTCTCTGGCCCTCTCTTACTCAACTAGACCCGGCAACCTTTTCAATCCCTCCATGCCATTAACACCATACCAAATATGCCCAGCCCAGTTCGTCATGCGCCGTTGGCCAATTCGACGTTCATAATAGCATCAACGTACCATACCACAGTTGGAAAGCCACCCTGCCCTGGAGACTATCGCTGCAAACTCCGCCATTCGCCTTGACACAGAATTACATTTTGCTGATAATGAGGCTCGCCATTTGAGACGATGTTTAAGAAGAATGTGATTCTGAGTGAACTTGAACTCGGAGCATGGGGCGCCTAGTCATCCGCATTTTCCGTTGCATCTCCCACACCCTTGCACGCCCTCCCTCGACTCAATCGAACAAATACTATGTACGTAGTAGGTGGTCAATAAAGAATTGTCTTCAGGTAAGAACGCTATGGGTATCTGTCCGGGGAAAAAACCTCAATACAATGATAAGATCTTCAAGTTAATCCAGTTGTGTCGTAATCCTCTAAATCGTGGCTTTGGGTCACTCTCTGAGTACTCTCCCTAATGGCATGCGTCTAGCGTACGTATAGACTATCATCAATATAGAGTGACATGCACATTCATTTACCTCCCTCCGCTGAAATTTCTATCGTCGCGGGACATTCTAATAAGCCCTGACGGACATAGATCACCCCATCCCGCCTCTCTTCTGATGCTTTTGAAAACAGAACAGGGCTTCAACAGACAATCGACCACGGGTAGTCATCTCAGCATAGCCATTTACCATTTGAGGGTGAACCAGCTATCTTTCTTCCTCACCGCCGCCATAGCATCTTGATTGAATATAGTCAGCAATGTCCAGCCTGTCGCACCAACATAGCAAATTGCCCATCTTATTAGCTGATGATGGCCAGCATAAAGCTGAAGCTGTCCACTACCAACTTAGATATATGCCAACCGGTTCTGTAAGCAAAGGGCCCATTAGTTAGGGATTTCTTTCGTCGCCAACCCCGGCTTGACCTAGCTTTAACCCTTTCGCGCGAGGGAAAAAATCGAGTGTGTGGTGATGATGTTGAGATCCTCGTGGGAGCTGACGGAAGGGAGTCGGTAATAGGGCTAAGATTGAGCTGGCGTAGTGAAGTCAGCTCCACCAACGTGGCCGGGGCTCTGGTTGGATGGATTGGAGGTTGCCCAGGCTTACCTTACCTACTTGGACATGATGCCCTGCAGCGGTACGTACTTCCTGTATCTCCCACGAAAGGGACCGGTCTGCGCGAGTCTTCCAGCAGGTTAGTAGGTAGCTGGTGTTTTGTCGTCCCCATTGAGCAGTGAGGCCTTGCTCGGTCTCTACCAACTCTTCAGATTAGATTGACGGTTTGATGATGGGATGGTGGGCTTTGTTCCCTCGTTCTAGGGATGGATACGGTAATTTTCCCACAAGGACCAGGGCTTTTTCTTCAAATTCATAGTACTGGTACAAGCTCAGGTAGTAATGTCTCAACTCCCTCATTGCTACAGTTTACCAGGTACCATCAGCATTGACGGAAATGCCAAGTTGGCCCTGCTACTCTGTACTTTTATTTACTAACTGCCTACCTATAGTGCGTCGAGTTTAGCCCCGATTGCGCATGCCAGTGACTGTCCGTTCCTCCTGACAGGTGGCTACTTCTTTCACCGAATTGCCACAAATGAGACATATGTAGCTGAATGAGGCTCTCGCAAGTCTCTTGGAAAACACATTCAAGAAAAACGTACAATCATGGTCTGTGTGGCCTAAGTTCAATTGTATTTCGCATAACTTGTTGTTACCCATGAATCACAGCCATGGCGAAATTGAAACGATAGACATGTCTCGCTGGTGCGCTGGTCTGAATCACATCCTGCAATAAATAGCCGATCTGAGGTTTTAAAAAAAATTCGTCAAGAGGCATAGTATACTACTGTAGATTTCAACCTGTCTCTGTAGTGCACATTCGGCACAAGAAAGGCAGTGACGGTTGGTTTAGTGTAGGCAGCCAAGGCCCTGGCTGCAGAGGATAATGCTGCACGGTGTTGTCAAATGGTCGTCGAATCAAGATTCCTTGGACGGATCGAAGAGGCACACCCCCCAAAAAAAGACTGCCCCTCAAAAGGAAAGAAGAAAAAAACGTACCGACAAACTACCTAGGTGCTAAAGGGTCGTGGGGCTATACACCCGACCGGCCGCAGGGGAACGCTCAACGACACTTGAGACTTATTAATCCACACGATGCAGTGCAATATCGTGATTAACCACTGAGGAAATTTGACCAAAATTATAGGAAGCAATTCGAGGACCAACCATCCATCCCGTATAAGGGAAATCATTTTCTTTGGAAGTACATCGATCTAAGATCTCGTTGGCTGTCAGGGTACACATGCGGTCGACCCAAGAAGGGAGTGGCGCACATGGATGTAAGGTAGTAGTAGGGTAGGCAACGGATGGATTGTGAGTGTATGTATGCAGCATGTGCAGTTGATTTGAGTCTAAATTCGCATATAGTTCTACAGAATTGAGGCAGAAATATCAATAAAAAATACAAAGAAAAGGAATGAGAAACCGAGGTCTGGCGCTGATAGCCCAGAAAATGACATAAGTGAACAGGACGACCAAGTAATTGGGTGGAAATAATTTAAAGGCGATGCGACCAGACTCCCAGCAAACAGGTGCACTAACTAAGGCAAGGCAGGAAGATTGGTTGGTGGATGATGGGAGGGGAGGAGGCGAGAGGCAAACCCGACAGGGCAGGTTTATGCTACCTGCCGTTGGCGGTCGCTGCCCTGAAGAACAGTGCAGGGTTCGTCAACCTCTTAGCGTCGACCGATCGCACCCACCCAATGAGAGCTCTCCATCGTGCCGCGGGGCACCACAAAAGCCCTGCATCGGCTGCTGCCCGTCGTGCCTGGCACCCCACGTCTGGCTTGCTGACTGCTGGACCACGTGATTTGGCGTTTAAGGACTTTTTCTGAACGCGTTGTCTCAACGCGTGCCACGTCACATCTCATGAGGATCTGTCAGTAAGGATTCTTGGACTTAGTGTCTCATTTGTGTTTCGTTCTTGTGGAGAGTTTGTGTTGTTTTTTCTGTCTTTTTGGGCCCGATCATGAAGAGCATGCGAGGGTTGTTGCACACAACAAGTGTCGAAACTACAAATGAACAAAAAACTACATTCGCTACGACTTCTGTTGCTGGACACAAAAGAAGTCTATCAACTACTGGAGAAGAACATCACTTCAGGGCTGCTACCTCTCGGGCAACTGTTCAGTTTCAGCGAGCCGTCAGTCTCCCCTCTGCCCCTCCTAGAATTTCTGCGAGTCGGATTGTTCGTCTCGATGAGCGAGTCGGACCCTCTGAGTATTCTCAGCGGAGAGCTATTGCTGCGACTCCTACATCGTCTTGTGATCCTGAACTCGAGTTAAGCCATCCTACATATGATCTTCCTCAACAGCTGGTTGATAATTTTGCTTCACTTGGCATTAAACAAATATATCCGTGGCAAAAATCTTGCCTTAAAGGCCCTGGGCTTCTGACAGGAGAAAAGAATCTTGTCTATTGTGCACCGACTGGTGGTGGCAAATCTCTTGTGGCTGATGGTGAGATGAATATTGGTGGTGAGTGGATTTTAGCTAACACTTTTAGTGCTCATGCTGAAAAGAATTCTGGAAAAAAAGGGAACTAAAGCCCTCCTTGTGTTACCATATGTTGCTTTGGTTCAAGAGAAAGTTCGTTGGCTTCGTAGTGTGGTACAAGGCTTACGCTTCGCCTCTGAAACAACGGTCGATGACGACAAGCGCATCTGGCGTAGACGAGCTGATGAAAACACAGTCCGTGTCGTTGGTTTCTTTGGGGGTGGAAAAGTTCGAGCAACTTGGGCTGATTTTGATATTGGCGTATGCACGTTAGAGAAGGTCGGTCTTGAGTACCGTTATCCCACTCTGCTACGGTAGTAAATTATTGACACACCAAGGCAAACGCACTCGTGAATACGGCCATTGACGACTGTTCGATCTCCAAGCTTCGTGCGGTTGTGCTTGATGAGTTACACATGGTTGATGATGATCATCGAGGCTATTTGTTAGAACTCGTGGCGACCAAATTGCTCAGCCTGGAGCAGCGTGTACAAATCGTGGGCATGAGTGCCACTCTCTCGGTATGTCGGTCGACTTCGTAATGCATTTCGAGCCGTCTAATTTGGTAGTAGAACATGGACATGATGGCTCAATGGCTTGATGGGCATTGTTACGAAACTCGGTATCGACCGGTTCCTATCGAAGAACATCTCGTGTATGACGGCAACATTTATCCCGCAGGTTCTACAAGCAGTCTCATCAAAACAGCTGCACAGCTAAATAGTCGGTCTACACAAACACAGGCACAGATGAGACCCATCCGACGAATTGAACCATCCACCCACAAGGAGCTTCGCGACCCAGTATTAAATGCAGTAGTGACACTTGCTCACGAGACCGCTGTTGCTGGTTTCGGAGCCCTTGTCTTTGCTGGGAGTCGTGGCATGTGCGAGTCTGACGCCCGGTGGATTAGTCGGGCTATGCCCCAGCCACATGAGCTCAAGCCTGACGTTGTTGACAGGAGGATGGACTTGCTGGGAGAGCTTCGCAGTCTTAACACTGGAGTTGATCCGGTATTGGAAGAGACAGTCCTTTATGGTGTTGCATTTCATCGTAAGTGAGACGTCCCTTTCGCAAAGTCAAACATGTGTTTCTAATTGCTTTAGATGTAAGTCGACTTGACCGGCCAAGGCTCATGAACATTTCTGACTATATAGGCTGGCTTGACGACTGAAGAGAGAGATCTCATAGTGGCAGCTTACGATTCTGGAACATTATTAGTATGCGTCGCGACCTGCAGTCTGGCTGCTGGTATCAACCTGTAAGACTCGCTGTTTCGCTTGTTAAACACTTTATTTACAGCTACAGGCCAGCAAGACGGGTGATTTTACACAACTGCCGAATGGGGCGCGAATTTGTTGGACCATCTATGCTCAGGCAAATGCGAGGGCGGGCTGGAAGACAAGGAAAGGCACCTATCGGCGAGACATATCTCTGCTGCCGAGAAAATGACCTCGAGCAAGTTATAGAGCTCATGAATGCCGAGCTGCCAGCTGTCGCCAGCTGTCTCAACACTGAGAATCGACGTATACAACGGTGTGTCTGTCCTATAAACTAATGAATGACCACCAGCTAACAGAATCCAGCGCACTGCTGGAAGTCATATCTATACGCTTAGCTACGAGTCATGAGTCCATTTTGGACTACTTCTCGAAGTCTCTGTTGAGCCATACTCACAGTGCCAGGTTTGTCAACGATTGTATCACCTCAAGCTTGGAAGAGATAGAATCAATGGGTTTTGTGACCTCCGATTCTTTGTCTATGTTCACGGCGACACAACTAGGTAGGGCAATTGTGGCATCAGCTATTGATCCTGACGATGGTGTATTTGTCCATAACGAACTTGGCCGGGCACTCCAAGCATTTGTCATGGATGGTGAGATGCACGTCTTATACACGTTCACGCCAGTCCAAGAATTTGGGGTTATGGTGAACTGGCAGGTCTTCCGGAATGAAATGGAGGGTCTGGACGAGAGTGGTTTACGGGTACTGAGGCTTCTGGGCATCAAACCTACCACGATACTCAAACTGTAGGTCGAGTTCACAGTCATGGGATACTCACTGATAGCCAAATAGTGCTCAAGGTGCCACGCTCCGTGAAACTACGCCAGAGGAGAGGCAGGTTGCTCGAGTGCATCGACGCTTTTATCTCGCTCTCCAGCTGCGGGATCTGTGTAACGAGATTCCTATACACATAGTGGCACGTAAATACGACGTGCCTCGTGGAATGGTTCAGAATCTTTCCCAAACTTGTCAAGGCTTCGCTGCAGGAATGATTAAGTTCTGTGAACAGATGGGCTGGGGGTATGTTCACGTCAACTTTTTAAACCACATAGCTAAACGGGATTCAGAGTAATGGCCGCAGCTCTTGAACACTTTTCAGACAGGCTCGTGGCCGGTGCAAGAGCTGACCTATTGGCCTTGGCAAAAATTCCCTTCATCAAGAGCCGAACAGCGTGAGTGCATTGCTCTCAGTAGCAGGTAGTGTTGCTTACATATCATAGGCGAGTATTCTGGGAGAACGGTTTTCGTACTGTGGCAACGATCGCGAACGCAGATCCTGCAGAGCTACTTCCTGTGTTGATGCAGGTCGGTGTTCCGATCTACTATTGAAAATGCCCGCATGGGCAATATTGATTCATGTGCGCAGGCTCAACCAAACAAGATTCGTCTGAAAGGTAAGGACAATGAGAAATACGAAGAGAAACTTCTCGTCAAGGCCAAAGTCATATCAGATGCTGCAAGCAAGATTTGGAGTGAGTTGTCTTGACCTCTGTTTTACCTGACAAGCCTAATATAATTCCCGAAGAACTCCAAATGCAGGCAGAGATGGAGGAGGAGTAGCGTGTGTAGAGAAACTGCGTCGATGGATAATAACAGGGCTGGCGATCTCTGCAGTATCTTACCATGGCTTACATTCTGGTGAATACAGGCCTGAGGCGGCAAACGGGTCGGACTTTGGATGTGAATGCAGGCGTGTGATAGATGGCTGCATGCAGCGTGTCGGGTGGGCTGGGGTTCAGCGCCTGAAGGAGGCATGTGCCTCCCAAGTCGGCGTAAATACCAGCAAAACATTGAGCACGAACACGAAATGTAAGGATGATGAGTTGAATCTCTCTCTAGATTGAGATTGATCTGTGATGCTTATGTCGTTCGCAGACGCGTGTCGGTAATATGCATGAGAGCGGAAGCATCGATCCCAGAGAGAGGTTAGGAATTCGATGAATTACCCCTGTTCAGTCCAGCCGACTACTGAGCCGAGTGCTTGCGCCGCGGCCTCTCACAAAGAACTGGGAATGTTACGTGAGATGAAATGAATGGGATGATGTCCCTTGTTCGTGCAGAAGACGTGGCTGATCATTCTCCGGTGGCCTGTTTGTTGAGATGTTCAGAAATTCGATGAAGACATTACCTATCAACGATTGGTCTTTGGTGACCAAGCATTGTCTTATCCCAACCAAGCGCTCGTACCGCTGCACGTCGTCTGCACCTTGCTTATTCTGCGCCAGAATACAGCCAAATGGTTGGGTGGCTGTGGCACTCAATTGGTAGCCATCAACCATCCACATGCTTGACATGTCGTTGGCTGTTTCTAGGATTAGTCTGGACGCCAAGAAGGTGTGTGTGGTGTATGCCTATGTCTATTTCTAGTACTATTTCTACGGTGTTTCGGAAGATAGAACGTTTCTGAAAGCCTCATTTTGCGCTTTTCACGCGCCCTCACGCGATCCCTTATTAACTAAAGAATACTGGTCTGAATCGGATCAATACTTATAGCTTTGTTATGGCGGAAAATGCGGAAAATGCAGAACTTGCGGGCTCAACCGTTACAGTGCACACCTTGGCCGATGCTATGGGCGTTCCTCAGCCCCAGGTTATCGTGATAGACAGAGACTACCAGGAAGAGAAAGGGGAAAATCTCCCTAGCACAACGGAAGACCTCTGGGTCAGTTCAGCAGATGACAGATATTGTTCTGCGCCTGTACCAATACGAGTTGGTCCTTTGAACAACATGCAAACTTTCTACGTATGTGAAGATACTGATCTATTGATGAAGGCCCAGCTGGACTAACAGGTTTCCAGGTTCACAGAGATATACTTATTCAGGCAGAGTGGTTTCAAAAAGCCCTATGTGGAAACTTCAGAGAAGCAACTGAGCAAGTCATTGATCTGCCAGAGGAGGATCCAGCTGTTTTTCATTTTCTCGTTGCCTTTCTATACGAGGGTCGCTTTGAACCTATCAGGCCAGCAGCGAGCGTCTTAGGTGAACGAACCGGCTTACGGCCTGATTCTGATCCGCGAGTACTGATACATCAATAGAACCAGAAATTGATAAGGGAAAGGGTATTGAAGTTGACCCGGAGCCAGCAGAAGCTTCGGACTCAAGTTCGTCAAGTAGCAGTACCAGTTCTGGGAGCTCAGGTACTTCGTGGAGACGCCGGCGTCGAGCTCGACAAACGAGACTTGCTGAAGCGGAAGAAAACCAGGAGAAGCATCCGGGACATCATCGACCGGGCTGCCCGTGTCCTCGATGCCTCGCAAGACGCGACTTTTCGAGGTGCTGGCAATGCGGGGCTCAGCGATCTCGCGAAGGCAATGCTCCTGTACCTTTGCCTTATGGCCGAGGAGCTCCCAGAAGAGGGATGCATCCTCCAGGTGTCTTCCCTCCCCCTGTCAGCATTCCGATGCCTCCTCATCAGAGCCAACCGGAGCGTATCACAGGAGAAGATCTACGGACATGGTTCCTAGCGTATGAGCTCAACCTCGACGTTTATATTTGCGCGACACGTTATCTTATGGACGACTTTCGGAAGGCAGTGATGCGGTCATGTGTTGATATGCTCGAAACAGCAGGCTGGGATGCTGCACAACCAAAGATGATGCATCTTTGCAGAAAACTTTATCTCAGCGTGCCGGAGGTTGACGACTTGCTCAAGATGGTCATGGCACGTGTTGGGTTCCTTCAGCCGCTTCTCTGGAAGCGCGCGCCTGTAGAGACAAATGAGTTCTTGGTGAGTAACCCAGAGCTGGCTGCTACTATTCTGAGAGAGACGGTCATGAGGCATTCGCAGCCGACGGCGGATTTGCCATCAATGGAGCATATTCGTACCACGGCTTATGAAGACGAGTGGCATAATTTGGGTCGTACATCTGCACGAACACGGGCCTATCACTAGTAGAAGGACACGATGGTTATGATACTCGATGCGGTTTATGGTCGGGTTTTTTGCTGTTACGTCTACAGGCTGGGGGTCGATTCAGTACACTATGAATCTAGCCACTGGAAGTTTTATTTTTGCTTATGTATAGTAGGTACCAGCTTTCATATCTATCTCATCTTTACTATCTCATGTGTGAGTCAAGTTATTCTTCTTGATATGTTTAACTTCTGCAGGTATGCCAGTTTTGCAGGACACCCAGATCTAGTCAATAACATCGTCTCTCAGGCTAAATAGTTGCTGCAGAACCTCGTCCGATTTCGCTCTTAATGCCGAGTGGTACATGACATTCGTCTCGAAAGTCTTTGTACCCTTGACAAGCTTGGCTGTGTCTCTGGCAAAGTTATAGTCGACATACATATCCTCAACGAAAGAAGCAGCATACACGGGAACCTTATTCTTATGAAGCTTCTCCTGATCGTAAAGAGCGGGCCAGTTATCACGCCTGGCCAATGACTCGGCCTCCTGGCGAAGCATCTGGAGCTCTGGGTAAGTTTCGAAGTGAAATGGGAATATCATTTCTCCAGAGAAGTAGAGGCAGCTGCTAGTAGATTCCGTAGAGTAGTTATCATTCAGCCAGGAGAAGGGCTTGAGTTCTTTGCCAATGCGATTCGCTGACCAGGCGGAGGCTAAACCAGGGCCGTCGCAATATATGGCCTCGTGAAGGATGGCATATATGATGTTGGTATCAAATGGATTCCAGCCTTCAAGCGGTACTAGGGATGCTCTGTTGAGGAACCCGAACTGGTCAAGAGAGGTTTTCAATGTCAGGATCGTAGAGTGAACCTGGTCGAAGCCTCCATGGCTTCCGAAGGAAATGCCTATGGTCAAGAGACGGGGAACAGTGAGGACACCTCCAGATGGCAATGGAATACTGCCACCTTTGCGCTCGATGAATTTAGCAACTTGGAGGACGCTTTCGACATCCTCTGGGAATTTTTCATAGTACTGCTCGTTGCGTTCTATGACCCGTCGGAATGTTGCTTCATATACTTGGTCAGGCTTCTTACCCACAGGGGCCAGACCGCCCGTAAGAAAGACTTCCCGAAGACCTTCTGGATGCATGGATAGGTACGATAGTGCTATGAAACCTCCATACGACTGGCCGAAGATGGACCATGGTTGTTTGGCAGCGGGCCATGAGGCGGTAAGATACTTCCTTACAGCTTCGCAGTCGCGGACTGTGTTGTCCTGGCGCATGAGGCCAAGGTATCGAGCGCGCCCTTCAACGTCTTCAGATACCAGACTTAGCATATCAGCACCAACTGGTGTACTTAGACCAACACCGCGATGGTCGAGTAAGAGAAGCTGATATCCCTTTGCAAGAGCGTGGCGGGTGAGGGGATGATCCTGCGGTTCACGGTTGCCAAAGCCCGGTCCTCCCTCGAGGTAAACCAGATATGGTTTGGGGGCCTCTCCAAATTCGTCTCTTGGACTGTTCTCTGACTCTTCTTCATCAAGTGGAAATATGGGAACATCGTGTTTCTTAACAACACGTGCAAATAGTGTGATGGAAGGGCCCTGGATGTCCGTGTAGTCGAGAGGGACTTTGAAGAAGAGTTCCGTGACATATAATTGTCCGGGCAGCACGTGAGACTTTCTGCTGACCAGTTCGGCTTGGGGGATGGACAAGTTATCGGGAGTAGACATGGTGACTGGTGTTACAATAGCAGGGGTAGATAGGTAGTGATGGTGTTTTAGTGATGGCGGGGTCGGTGGGTGAGATGTTGAATATCAAACTACCTTACCTGCCTACTTACCTACTTAGGTAGGTAAATTGATAGGCAATCTTGTCACTCAGATTCTTGCTACAGATGACAATGGCTTACATTAATCCAGCTTTACTCCTCCTGGAAACTTTCAGTTTAGTTTACCTGGTTAATGTATTTTTGAGGAGTATGTCGGTTTGGCTCAACGCCTCACTCTACGGCGACTTTCCTGTGGGGTAAAGTATTTGCAATAAAATAAATACATGGATATCTAGATTCCTGGTGTATCACCCTTAAGAATATCACAACCATTATCTCACAAAATTGTCAAGACCGACAGAGATAAATTCACTCAGACAAACTGTTTGACCTGTAATTAGGTATTTAATGAAACAAGTCTGGTCTCAATTCTTGTCACCTTACTTGGTACCTATCAAGGCGTGCGATACATCTACAGGGTAGCTTTGGCTTATTAGCATAGGTTGCCTCGGCCTGTCCTTCACCTCCATAAACTGACCACTAGCTCTGGAGGGGCCGAGCTTCGGACAGGTAGACAAGGAAGCACATATAACTATTGCCAGCACATGGTGCGTCAGATCATAGCCCCAGAACCTCTAACGTGGAGCCAATAGAGCCGCATCATCACGTCCCGGCCCTCTTGCGAATCACCAACTTTGCGCTCCGAAGTGGCTCGGCTCTAGATTACTGAATTCGTCCTGTCCTCAAAGCACCGTCACCCGCTGGAGGGACTCTAGTTTTTAGGTACCAAGCTAACGTACCCGCTGTTGCATACAAACAGGCCAATCAGTATCATTATCTCCCCACTCTGCTCCCGCCTTGCTCTGGCAACAGCACTCCTTTCGGGATCTAGCAAATCTCTTCCTCTTCCCCATCTAATAAATATTTCATTTCCTCTTCTTATTTTCGACTTTCTTCTTTTTCTCTCTCCTTCTCTATCGCATTCATTCACAGCCAAGGGCATGGCATATCTTCATCTTGCACACACGTTGGCAGATGCTTTCAACGCCCTTGCTGATGAAGTCCAGACCTTGACAGATCGAAAGACCGTCTTGGAGCACAAGCTTCGATTTGCTCATGAACAGGTAAGAAGAAATGTATTTTCCCTATGCAGCAGTTCCAAGCCTAGAACCCGGCTTTTTCCACTACCTGTCTACCCTGGCTGCGCAACCTCCTGGCATTGTTTCGGCGATACCGGAGCTGTCGGCTTCTTCCCCCAAGTCAGCATGATGAATATCATTAGCTCTAGATCAAGAGCATCAGGATGAATGACCCTGTTGCCGAGATTGATAACCTATTTTTCTGATATCTGACCTATCGACATCCCTCCTCTCCATCGTCTGCAATGGACTCGTCGCTGACTCAAAACCAAAAACAGTTCCAGTATCTGGCTGACAAATATGCTCCAGCCGCGCCAGAAATAGCTGATACACTGGCTAAGCTCCAGATACCTCCGTATACACCTCTTGATAATTCATTGCCTGTTCCTCTTCCACGCGCGTACAGCTCCGGTTCCCAACACCAGCTTGCCCTCGTCATCCGTGACGGACGCCGAGTAGCTAACCAGCTTGCCTCGCTGGGCGAAGCGAGTAAAACCACTGGCACTGTCTCTAGCAGAGAGACCGAGTCGCAACCTTCCCACGTAGCCACTTCCATGTCGACAGCGCTAGAACAAGACTTCACGGTCCAAGGAAAGAAGGGCCATCTTCAATGCCCGTTCTCCAAGCCTGCCACGGCTAGCGGCTCTGGGGCCCGCGACGAAGATGCACAGGACACAACTCCGCATCACTCGATGGACCCCATCTGCGCAGCCATGTACGAAGAATCTACTTCTCAGCAAGCCCGCACAAACACAAACGGCTCATCAGCCGTCAAGTGTCCCATTCGTTACATGGACAAACACTCCGCTGAGGAGATCGCCCACTATGTTGAGACACACAAACATGAACTCCCCCGAAGCCATGAAGTTTGCCTCCGCCGGTACCAACGTGATGAAGATCAAATCAAGAAGATAGATTCTAAATATGGCGACATTGTGAGCATGATAGAGGGGCTGGGTCAGCTTCACCAACCCATGCTACCCGAGGCTGAACAGGACCCGAATCGACCAAATGATGTGGCCCAGCCTTCTAATGAAAGAGTTGAGAACTGGGCACAGGCTGTTAGTGTAAACTCGGACCCGGATAACACGCAGGTGCCGACTCGAGAGGATGGAGACCGGCAGAGTCATTTCGATCGACCCCTCAAGGAAGTACGCGTAGGAGAATCGCCCAGTCGGCCTTGGGGAATATCTATTCCAGTCTACGACCTGTCGGGCCAAGGCGACGATCAACCTCTTTCACCACCACCAGCGCCTGTCTGCATGCCGGTTTCAGCTCAAGCTGCAGCCAGTGCCCAAGAATCAACAAAGAAGACGCCAGGCAAATGTCCATTTGATCACACAAAATTGGCTGCCATGGGTATGCCCTCACCATTCAAGCATGACACCTCTCAGGTACCAGAACACACTGTTTCATCTTCACCTCACAAGGAGGGCGGGCCACCTCCACCCCCTCCACATCAACATCAACATACGGCACCTCCTCAACCTGCCTTCATCAACCCTGATATGACCAAAGGGACAAACAACGGACCTCAAATGATCTTCACAGGGCCTGTTTTCATTGGATATCCAATGGACCAAGCTATACAATTTATGAACCAATACCGGGGGGATCAGTAATTCTCATAATGGTGGTGTTTTCACTTTTCGGTTTTCATGTTGTGACGAGAATGCATAAGCGACGGCGTTGGCGAATTCGATTTTATGGGATGCAAGCGATAATATTACTGAAGTCTTTATACATTCTATTTCAACACATTGTGATTGAGCGGAAGTAGCAGCCGCAAGTTGCAATTGATTGCATATCCAAAATTGGCTCTGATGGCTTGAAAGAGAAGTTTATTCAAACGCATAATCGTCCTCTATTACCCGATGACTACCGAATACCAGCGGCCAGGGATCCTCCAGTGTAAAGATGTCCAAAACGCCGTCTAGTCCATTTGAAAATGTATAATCAATATAACTGAGCCGTGTCCCAATGTCCCTAGTATCGACTGATCTTGTCATTACTATTCCCAACTTGCGTCGAGGCTTTCCGTTAAAATGTCACCTCATGCCTCTGGGTTCTCCCTCTTATTCGTGTTTTCCTCTTCCTCTTCATCTTCATCATGATATCTGCCCTCTGTACC